TAGCAGTTTGCAACGTCGATCGGTTTGCAACGGTCGAGTTTGCAACGTCGATCAAGGTAAGAAAAACTCAGAAGATTGGTAGCCCTTAAGATGATCTGTAAAGTTCAGAGTGAAGCAGTTCGGTCCTAAGCTATTCTCGAACTTTTAGGGTAATCTTTTTGACGAATTCCATTTCCTATAACCAATCAAACACATCAGATATATGGTAACTTGAGATCCATAGGATTCAAAAAAGGCACATCGAATGTACGGAATAATTTGAAAGTACCGGCAGCTCTCTCCCATTACAAAAATTTCAGATCCCTTCTCCTGTGCCCATATTGCATATAAGTCAAGATTTTAAGACTGAACTAAAATTTTAAAATGTACCTTATTTTATCACGGCAGGGGCGGATCTAGAAATTTTCGAAAATTTTGTTGATTTTTTTTTAGGTCGAGCAAAGTGAATTTCCGAGCTCTCCCAAAGCACTAAAAAGAATCTCTTTTGGTAAAGTTTTTTGCGCAGAAGGCAAAAATTTGAAAAACAGGCCAAAAAAGGTGTTTTTAGGCACTTTTGGAAAATTTTGACAAAAAAATCGTTTTTTTTTTTGGCGCGCGCACCCCCCTCAAAATTAGTATATATTGGCGCGTCAAAATTAGTATATATTAGTATACTTTAGGTCCGTCACCGAATAGGGATATTTCAAAAAAGTACAAAGGGGGGACCCTTTGGGTCGGCAGGGGTTCGAATTCCTGAGGGGGAGGGCGTACGCCCCCCCCCCCCTCCAAATCCGCCCCTGATTTCAGGTTTCTTTAAGAAAGTTTGTCTACATATTGAAAGGTTGCTAAAAAAATAGTTTTGTTTTCACATTTTTTGTTTGAAAATAAGTTTGCATCGCAATGCCATCTGAATCAAAGCAGCAATGGGTATTTATGAGGATTTTTTTCAGCTTACTGACTGATGCAGCTTCGTGCGTATAAAATGCGCCGAAAGGTATGCTATTAATAAATTATTTCTATTTCCACCAATATTTGCTATAGGACATTTCGTGTTGCCTATTTACTACTGCATTTTATAATAATGTTATATATTTGCTTTATTTCGGTGTTTTTCAATTAAACGACTATGAATCACTAATATTTTGATAAAGCTTATTGAAGTAGTGTTATGATAACAAAAATATAATCGAACACGAATCAGCTCTGCTCCTATTCTCCAAACTCCTCCTGTACAAATTCCACCCCCCCCCGACCCCTGACGAAACCACCGCAATCAAAGCTCTAGCTACTCTACCCTAGGCCAGATTAACTCAGCAGTGGTAATAATTAAGCAAATTGATCTTCTCAGCTGATAGTAGTTTTATTATTAACAGAGCAACAAACCTCAGATCCTACGCATAAAACGCATAAATCGAAATTTAGAAAAGTATTTAGTGTCCGCTTGCAACTCAACATAAAATACAAAAGAAATGCAAAACCGAACAAGACTGCTCGTATCAGGACAAAGCCCTAAATGTTCCGACTGACTTTTAAGGTTAAGGAGTAGTATCAACATGAAAAATTAAATGAAATAAAATAAAATGAATTTTTTTTTCTAAAATTTGAATTTTTTAATGAAAATCATCCCCCCTCACGCCATATAAAGTACAAAAGGATAGGTTTCGTTCCTTGTAACAAACCAATTATGGCCAATAAGCTTCGTTCAACCAATTTGGAACGATTTATAAGACGGATTGAATCTCCGCTTACGCGTTAATAGCGCGAATTATATCGCGCGTTAATTGTCCCAAATTGGTCAAAATGGAAAAAAATTGCAATCTTTAAAGCTTCATAATTTTACAAAAAATAATCACAGGTGAAATATCTTTTCAAATTTAGGCTCAGGACAACAATAGTTTTCGAATGATATAAACAAAATTCCGTCAAAAATGGCTAGTTAAAAAGTTGAAATTTGTCTGAAGAAAAAAAAACCCACCACGAGCACAAATATTCCGTTACTTTCGTATCGAAATTCAGAACAACAAGACAGCTCGTATCAGGGCAAAGCTCTGAATGTTCCGACTGCCTATTAAGGTTTATGGAGCAGTAATAAAAAATAAAAGTAATAAAACAAAATAAATTTTTTTTTCTGAAATTTGAAATTTTTTATGAAAATGATCCCCTCACACTCAATATATAAAGTACAAAAGGATAGATTTAACAATAGATCTAACAAATCAATTATGGCAAATAAGCTCGTTAAACCAATTTGGAAGGATTTCTAAGACGGAATAACTCTCCGCTTACGAGTTAATAGCGCTAAATATATCGCGCGTTAATTGTATCAAATTGGTCAAAATGGCAACCTTCAAACCCCCAAAACTTTACAAAAAATGATGACAGGTGAAGTATCTTTTCAAATTTGAGCTCAGGACAACAATACATTTTGAATGATGGAAAAAAAATATCCGTCAAAAATGGCTAGTTAAAAAGTCGAAATTTATCTGAAGAAAAAAAACCCTCCCCGAGCACAAATATTCCGTTACTTTCGTGTCAAAAGTCGGAACAATAATTTTGAAAAAGCCAATCGTTTTCTGTGTGTTAATGTAATTTATAAAACGTCAAACTCGCGAAGGGTTCTAGAAATTTCTTCAGGTCATAAGTTTTACCAAAATGCTTCGAATATTTTTCCTCAAATTTCTTGATAGGCTGTCTTTTGTTAATAAGACAGTACAAAGAACGTATTCAGTCAAAACTTTGGCCGCAAATGCGGTTTTCAGCTATTTTCAAAAGTAAAAGCCAAAAACCGCGGTTTTTTGTGCGCACGCCCCCACCGCTTAAGCTGATAGATGTTTGTCACGGGAAAGTTTTGAGTTCCTCCATCAAAAATGAGCACATAAAATTGTATCAAAAATGGAAAATTGGTAAGAGATGAGTGAAGCGTAGTGTCATTTTCCCTCTCCAAATACACCCGTAATTTGGATCCAATTTCTTGCACAATCAATGTCAAAATCCAAATTAAATCAGGGATAGATTGTTTCTGTGAAGTAGCGCAGAATGTTCCGATCATATTCATTTCATGATGAGCAGATATAATAAAAATTATTTTCGAAACTAGATTAAAGTGTAAAAACTAACTCAAAATTTGGAGAAAGTAACGTTAATTAACAATATTTTTTCAAATTTTTTTAAGTCGAACAAATTAGTTTTCCGAACGTCAAATTAGTTTTATAGTCTGCTCCCACTACACTATAAGTACCCTGTTACGACAAATTTTTCCGCAGACAAATTTTTGAAAAAAAAAAAACAGGTTAAAACCGCCGTTTTTGGGCATTTTTCGAAAGTTTTTGTGACGAAAAACTTGCGTTTTTGTTCGGCGCGCGCTCCACTACAAAATTAGCGCATATTGGAGCTAAAAACGCCCTCAGAAAAAAAAAATTTAAGAGCTGGTCGCGGAAAACGGATGCCTTAAAATGATACCAAAAGGGGGAGCCTTTGTTTAGCGAGGGATTCGAAATCTTGAGGGGAAATCGTTTTCCCTCTCAAGTACGAACACCGCCCCCTGCCGTTAAAAAGGTTTAGGAAATTATTGTAGGGATGTTTCTTTTTAAATGCAATTTTAAATGATCAAATTTTTAATAATATTTACAAAATACCATGACTAATGAGACGATTTTGGAAAGATGACAGAAATGTGATTGGTTTTGCAAAATTGGGATTGTTTTGAAATTACCCGGTTGGGCAAATGTTTAAAGGTTTCATTGCAGCATTTTTTGAAAAAATATGAAAAAATTCTAAATTCACACTCGCAACCTATAAGCTGCGAGTTAATTTGACGCAAAAATTTTCCAATTTAAAAGCATGTACGTTCATAAGCGAAAAGCTTCCTCATAAACTACTCAATGAAATGAGCTTTTTTTTTGAGCTTTTTTGCCGAGCTTCCACCGAACCTGTTTTCTCTAGAGAAAATCAAGATACGAAAATATCATCAGTTATTTTATGTGGCCTACAAAATGGAGCTAAAAATGATCTGCTGGAATAAAACACTACACAGACAAGCAAGCTAGAATTAGATTTTACCGATATGATTAATTCAGAGGGAGTTGGTTCAATAAGTACCACCGCATAAGAGGTCAATTATGAAAATTGCGGTTGAAAAATCCGAAAGTACAATTTCATGAATGAGTAACTATGGTAGAATATGTTACTCTAGCCATGAACGGGTAATTATAGTAGTAAACAGCGGTAGCAAGTAACACCTTACGCATAGCTCCCATGGGTCTCGCTTGAAAAACAAAAAAGTAATTCGAACCACAGAAAACTATTTTCAATCTTTGTTTTCGATGTGCTTAACAACTATGTTAGCTAATCAACCAATGAAAATCCTGAACTAATTTTTGAAAAGATAAATTTGAGATTGAGTTCATTTCAATTCAGCGTCAAATTTAACTCGAGATAATTTTTTATTACAATATTCAGTCAAAGGCTTTTCAAAGTCATAAATGCTTCGACTAACCCTAAATCGGTAGCGAACAGTGGTGGCAATGAGAACAAGACTGCTCGTATCAGGGCAAAGTCCTGATTTTTCCGACTGACTTTTAAGGTCTATGGAGCAGTAATAACATGAAAAAATTAATTGTAATAAAAAAATGAAATTTTTATTTTTAATTTGAGATGTTTTGAGAAAATTTTCCCCCGCACCCCATAAAAAGTACAAAGTGAAAGATTTTGCTCCTAGAAGCAAATCATATACGGCAAATAACCTGCTTCAATCATATTGAATTAACTTCAAAAACGGATGATCGCGTTAATAGCGCAAAATATATCGCGTTAATTGTTGCGAATTGGCCAAAATGGCAATCTATAAACCCCCATGAATTTATGAAAAATTATCACAGTTAAATTATCTTTTCAAATTTAAGCTCAGCACAACAATACCTTGCGAATGATATAGAAAATGTACGTCAAAAATGGTTAGTTAAAAATTCGAAATTTGTCTGAAGAAAAAAAACCCGCACCCAGTGCACAAACGTTCCCTTACTTTTGTTACGAAAGTCGGAACAATAATGAAACATTGGGACAATATATAACATGAAGAGTGAAAATTTGATTTTTACGAAATATGTACGAACTATAGGCTTGCGTCAATTCAATTTGAAACGATTTCGTGGAGCAGGATAATTCGCCACGCATAAATAAATTGCGCCACGTTTCTAG